GCAACGGGATCGCAACCCTCGGTGTTGCCCCCACACCTCGCTCAGCCAGTGAGCGGGAACCGGTCTGTATATGGGATCCGAACCCTCGGCGGGAGCGCCACCACACTCCCAAGTGGCGCACTGTAGCAGTGCGCCACCTGGCCGGCCCAGCATGACACTTCTTAGAATGAGAAAATGTCAGTTTGAGTAGGAAATAAAATAATTCACAGCACAAGTTTACTTTTCAACTCATAACTATTTGCATCTTCTCTGAAGAATCATAATTATATTTTCCAGCTTTTGAAAAGAAATGTAATGCCAGAGAATTTTTGTTTTACTGTTATAGAATATTGAGAAATTAATTACATGCTTATAGTTAATTTTCTGATATTTGATATCTCTAAATTAATGATTTCAGCAAACATTTAGCACCTAGTACTGGATAGATTTAAAAGATCAAGAATTCTAAAATGAACAATCTCTCTTTCTATAACACAAGGAAAAAAAAGGAAAATTTGTATGACTGAAGATCTAATTCTCTGTACCGAAGACCGTAATTTTGCTTTTCCCCCCACATCTAGTTCTGTGTAATTGCAATCATTTCTCATTTTCCAGAAATAGACTTTACTCATGGTATAATGGTATCTGAAGAGCAGTCTGATTCTCCAGAAACAGCACAGGACTGAAAGTCAGGAATCTTAGCTCCACTTTAATTAAGTTGCAAGTCCTTTAACATCTTTGTGCCTCAGTTTCTTTTTCAAAAGAGGGAGTTAAAATAAATGATAGTTACGGCCCTGTTTACAAAGTTCCAAGATTTATTTTAAAGTCTTCAATAAATCAAAGCCTTTGTCAATGAGAATACATTTTAACTTTTTGATATTAAAATGTCCAAACATAATTTCTCAGCAACCTTAACAACCATTAACAATTTGATGTATTTGCTAAAATAATCCGAGTGTGATGACAAATCCAAGCCTCTTTACGTGATTTAAATTCAGAAAACTATAGAGCATGCTAACTGACTGCAATAAAATGCATTCTGGACAATTTCAGATTCCCCTTCTCCCACCAGAGGGAAATTTCTATACAGTAAGTTCAAAGACAAGGGCCCCCAAACAAAAATTTTAGAAAAAGATCCCTAGCCTGCAAAAGAAAAATATTTCTGACAGAAAGGCCCTTTATTTCTCCATCACCACTTCAGTCTCGTAGGACCGTAGGCTGTTTAAATATATAAACTATACTTTTCTTCCTTTCTTTTCTTGGTTGTTGACCTTTTTGCGTGTCCTGCTGCTTTTGCCGTTCTCAGTTTTTTTTATGAAGAGACTATTTCTTCTACATACATCTCCTACCAATCAGACTGTTCCTTTACTTTTACATGGCAACCCTAACAATTACTGACACTCAGGTTTAATTTTAGAGTCCTTAGGTTTTAAGTAATTTCATTATTATTACTTAAAGGCTCATTCTATTCTGCCAGAGAGTCTTACTTATGGGTTTAGTATCGACTTCACATAATGTTTGTGTGTTTATAAATATTCTTCATGTTGAACTGTGAAATCATTTTGTTACTAAACATATGGTCTTATTTTCAAATTCTGTTAATTTTTTCTAAATACCACAATGTAATACTAACATTTCAAAAGCTAATTAATATATAAAATCTAAATAAGGAAAAATTAAATTACTAAATTCATGTATAAATTTTTACAGTTAATTATCAGTTTAAATAAAAATTCTTAATTTGCTTACCAATGCCTTGTAAGATGTATCTCTAATGTATGAGGTTATCAAGCCATTTCACATGTATGTGTATAAATAAATAACTGGGGGAAAGGTCAGAAACTTAATTAATTAGAGTTTATTTATAATTATGCTATCGAAGCTAATCGCCAAGGAAGAGCTAAATACTCTAGTGGAAATTCCAAGTCTCATTAACTATGGT